GACCGAGTGCAAGTTGGGCATCTTCCTGGAGGAGGAAGAGAAAGATACATTTTGTCATGGACAAAAAACGAGCCATGCAAATTATTCCAGGCTTCCCATACTTATGCTCACTTGCCCACTGTGTGTAGCCAAACAAGAAATCCTGAGCTCTGGGGTTTTTTTTTTGGTTATTTGGTTTTTATTACAGCACAGCCCCACACAACTGTTTCCTGCAGATTCCTGTTAAAGTGCCATACCTTGCAGCTGCTAGCTACAATTTCTCAAAGCTGACATCTGTGTAGCTGCACAGATTGGCCACATAAAACAGCTCCTGTGTTGGCCTCGCATGACTCTTAAAATTAAAGAGACGTTGAAGTGTCACAGTTGAAATACATGTACATAGTGCAGTGGTGCAGGCATAGCGTCTCTCAAAACAGCTACCCTGTAGAGCTAACCTGCTTATTTCTCTCTGTTCAGTATAACCACTTGGGTTGCTACCAACTGGAAAAGCAAGAAATGTGGCAGTTTCTGCTTATAGCTTGAATTTTGGCTTGAAGGCTCTGGCCTTGTTCCTCTTCACACATTAGTACTGAAATCTTTATCTGCCTGATCATCTCCATGGAACATCAAGTATAAACCCACCAACCTCTTATTACCTACTTCCAAGTTTGGGGTGTGCAGAATTAACTAAATGTTTGCTTGAAATTACAAAGGAGCAGGGGTATAGTTATGCTTCCTACTACAGGGTGGGAAGCATGTGATGAGCAGACCAAGGGCCTAGAGCAGCTTGCTGAAGTTCTGCTGGAAGACACAGTAAATGAAGTTATAGCAATATGCTTGCAAAACACTTCTGTGCTTCTTTTTTTTCTCAGCTGGAAAGCACCTGTTAGACATCATCAGCCACACTCTTCAGTTTCCCCATCAATAAAAATGTAGAGGATATTTCCCTGCTTCCTTTCTTATATATTATCAGAGCCCCAGTAGAAATACCAAATTTAACATAAACAATGTTAAGCTGCACAGCTCCCTCCATCATCTCTCATAATGTTTTCCCAGTGTGTTAAGCAGCAACCCTCAATTCCTTTTTTTTTTTTTTTTCCTCTCCTCCTTTTCTCTTGGCTTGCTTACCACTTCTAAAATAGTTTGAGGCCAGCGTTGGGCTCCACGGGTTTGTTGGCATAGCTTGGATTGTGAAATACCCACCCCCCTGGCCAAGGCTGCTGGGCTGGCAGCGTGGTCAGGACGCAGCTCTGTAAATTCGGAGGTGGTGTTCTGCCTTCTTTTGTGTCAGCCTCCTGCGCTGCATTTGAAGTGAGTAGCGTGTTTCCAGTCTGCTTCAAGTCACGTGTATGCTACAGATAAAGAAAACGTGGCACTGACATCAACTAAAATGTTTATGTATGCGTGTGTTTGATGTTAAGTGTGGAGATTTTTTTCTGATAGCTGAGTTGCACTTAGGGAAGCAGGCAGTGATGAAACAGTAGCTCAAATAATTTTGAATTGTTTATAATAATTAATGCATATCAAAGTCGACACATATAGCTTGCAAGGAGGACATTTCTGTCTGCATTTAGTTTTTTGGAGATTTTTTTCGCAATGTTACGTCCAACACTGAGAACTAGTATGACCTGAATTTTTACTGTCCAATATGGGAGATACTACAGAGCTTGTGCTAAGGGCTCTGGCTGTGGACAGTGAGAGATGTCATCTAACATGGTAGCAGTAAAGAAGGTTAGTGGGACACTGGAAAGCTGCTTTCTCACCCAGTTACGTTCCCAGTGAGATACTAGGCTCTTTCAGTGATTTCAGTAGATTATATTATTCACGTTTCCGTCTATATTAGACAAAAAAAAGGATCCTGGAATCAGTCCACATTGTTACCGAAGCAAGAAATATCTCTGTGCTTGGTTTTTCTTCCAGTGGATTGCCCCTCAGTCACAGCTCTGATAGTTCATGGCCAGGAATGTTTTGTACAGTTGCTTGTTGCTACTGTTGCGCGCAAAGAGCGCTCTGGTTTGCTGACGTAGGACCTTGACGTGTGTTTGAAGTTGCAGTTTCCAAAAGCCAGAAAAGATCTCCTCATTGAAACTTGAAACATGACATGTATTGACTTATTTTTAATTCCACAAGAAGACCTGGACTTTTATGAAAAGCAGATTTTGTCCCATTTAGTAGATTCTTGTGAAGCTCCAAGTCAAAGGATAGATGACTTTAATAAAATCATTTTGGGGTTACTGATTTGAGGATTAAACAGAAAACGTGTTATTTTAATGCTCATGTTGTTTTATTCTGCAAATGTGATTTTTCTTTTTCCTGATCATTTACCACAGAAACGTTCCAGAGGTCAAGTGCTATTCGACAAAGTGTGTGAGCATCTGAACCTTTTGGAAAAAGACTACTTTGGATTAACGTACAGAGACACAGAAAATCAAAAGGTAACTCACAAATCTGTGTCTGGCCTTTGGTGTGTGGTCATCAGACCCTGAAACACCCCCTGATAGTTGCAGAGAAGTCCAGAAGTTATCGTCCTTGCCAAATTCCATAGGCATAGCATGGGCTCTTGGTTTTTTGTGACTCTCGACCTCTTGAAAGCATCCCCTGTATTTCCCTAGCTTTCCTCTGTGTTGGCTGTTTGTGACATGAAGTAAGTTAATCGTATAGCTGGTTCTCTTTCTAGAATGATTCATTTCATCACTGCTATAGGTGAAAGTCACATTTACATTCATATGCTACTGAACACGTAATACTAAAATATGGCTTATTTAATAATATGGCTGGGATACATATAGGTAGGAGTTGATTGACTGCTCTTGCTAACTGCTAAGATAAAGTAAGGCTTTAAATCTTGACTTACTTTATCTGAGCGTTACTGTTGATTGGCTAAAGACATCAGTCTTCAGAAGCAGTTGGCAGCAACAGTGAATCACATTTTGCCTTTCTGCATCTCGACTTTAGTATTCAATAAGCTGTGTATTAACAGTGTCCAAGATGATCGAATATGCAGGCGATAATATATATATATTGTTTTGGACATGTTATGATGAAAGAGAGTTGCAAAGGATAATTTAAAATATACTGTGTGATTTTTGCATTTTAAGATAAATATTTTGAAAGAAACCAGTAATAAAAAATTTTTAGCAATATGTGCTGTAGCCCAGCAGAGCTCACCAGGTGAAGGTATTTCAGGCTTTGTATGGCCTGCAAGGTCTTTCCCAATGAAGCTGGAGCTTCTTCATCTGCTTATGTATTGTGAAAACAGTATTTTTATTTTCTAGGCTTCCCTTTGTTTCAGTTATATATGATACAAAAGAAATCATTCCTTTTTTCTCTCTTTTCCCCTTTCTTCTAAATGTAAGGATTCTGTTTCTGATTCAGAAAATCACTTACACAGACGCTTGATCCATGCCAATGCAAGATAACACTTTAGCATATGCTTAGTTTTGAGTTGTGGTAAAAGCTAGGCAGATGTTTAAGTGCATTTTCAGATAGGTGTGCTTTCCTGTACTGGAAAGAGGAGAATGTATTCATTATAAACAGGTGGTTTAGAAGTACTATACATTTATAGATCACCAGTTACTTTACAGAGCTAAACAACTAAAATAATACTGCCTGACACCACATTTATTGATCAATAACATGCATATTTTCAATGTCAGTGTACCTAGCAATTCACCTCCATCCTCTGCCACATAACTTCCAGCCAGCCAATGTATTTGCCCTCATCACATGTCATCTTTGAAAATAGAAGTCCTGATTTGTCTTTAATTTCTTGGTGCATGGTGTGCTTTCGTGCTCAGCAATAGCTGGAGCTCTTCAGGCTCATGTTTTGCACCACAGACCAGGTTTGGACAGCTGCAAACTGGTTGTTTTTGTTGGGGAGGGATTGTTGTGTTTTGCTTGTTTGTTATTTCTTTAGTATTTTTTTTTCTCTGATACATTTGTTTCTCTTTCTTTGGTTAAAGTGGAACTTTCCTACAGGAAGCGAACTTTTTGTTCTGGGCTGTGTGGCACATTTTAAACATTAACTTGATACTGCTAGAGGGCAAGGCAGCAGCAGCACTAAGAGACCTCAAGCTGCTGTGTGCCTCCTCCAAGGGAATTTAGCCTACTCCTTAGCATGCATGGAGCAGTAACACATTGCCATGATAATTCCCCACCTTCTTGGCAGGGTTTTTGTCTTGTGTAGTCATTGGGCTCTGCGTGGCATAGATAGGGGCAGCCCCGTTGCTGCAATTCTGCCTCTGGTTTTCCCCCTGCGCTCCCTCTGCCTCCAGTGAGCCCCTTGTGCCCACGCAGGGTTGCAAATGGGGTAGTACCCTATGGCATGCTTGCCTGTCCTTTTCAGCCTTTCCAAGGTTAGAGGGGAAAAAAAAAAAAAAGAAGCCAAACCCAACTTCTTAACAAGCTTTTAGAAATTTAATTTTCCCAGAAGATAATCTGGAAAAATGTTTCTGTGGATTTATTTGGCTAATTTCTATTTTTTATTTTTTTATTTCAAACCATTTAGCCTAACCCTTCAACATCTTGGAAGGTTAATGAAATCCTGGTTCTACTCAGGGTCACATCTTGAAAGATAGTGTTGTCTCTGCCTACTGCTGCTCCAAGGAGAAAGGGGTGGCCAACCTTCAAGTGTTCTAACGTTGACTCTTTGCACTGTTTTTAAAATAATGTTTATTGTGTTTTCTAATTCAAATTGAAAAAAGGAAACATTTTCTTTGCAGAATTGGTTGGACCCTGCCAAGGAAATCAAGAAGCAGATCCGAAGTAAGTTTGTTATCATTTGTGTATTTATTTCATGGGATCTGGGAACCTTTTTTTCTGACGTATCCAGACCCCAAAGTCTACACAGAAACGTCTCCAAACTGCCATTAGTGTTTGTGAAGGTGTCGGACCCCTGTGGTGCGGAGCAGGGGTGTGAGAGGCAGAGGGGTCACCCTGGCATACAAGGGACACATCATGGGCACCACATCTCCGTCACTGCCCAGCCCCTCTGATATTCTGGGCTTATTCCTACACTGTTGGGGTAACTGCCCACTCTTGGGTCGAAGGACCTGTCCCAGTGGGGTGTCCCCAGCACCAGGGGCTCAGCAGCCCCCTCTCCCCAGCCCTGTACTGTGGCCCAGCTGCCTGCAGGGTGAGGGGACGGAAAAGACAGGGCCACAGCCCCCATCTGGATGCCTCCCCCGAGGAGACAGCACTCCCCTGGGGCGACAAAGCATCTTTCAGACCCTTCTTTTGCATCCTGTCCTGAGGCTCTGACACTGGAGTTACCTGTATGGTTTAGGTTTTTTTACCCCATAATAAGTGCAGGCAGTTACAGAGGCTCATAACACATGAGCTTGCATTGCTGAAAACAACTTGACATTTGCAGAGATGCAAAAACCCGAAGTTTGACATTAAGCAATGTAACCTTAGGGTCTAGGCCACATATATAAATTATTTCTTTGCGTTACTGATATTTATATCATATCCAGGAACGCTGCTTGTTCCCCATATGGAAACACTTCACTGACGCAAAGATAGCGCTCTACCTAAATTATCTTTCCTTCCTCCATTTCAAAAGCTTGAACTTTGCTCCTGAAATGACCATTCAATTCACAGAGAACCAGTCAATTTTCTGCTTCACATGAATATTTTAAAAAGCTCAATTGTTAAATTTAGCTGTCAGCCACATTAGAAATTCAAAAACATCTTGAAGGAAAATGGTGTCAGGGCTGCCAGGCTCAAAATTTGACCTGCCATTTTTTCCCCTTCCCTTTTTAAAATCGATCAGATGTTTGTGTGTGTGTGACTTTTGTTGGCTGGAAAACTTCAGTAGTTTTTTTCTTTGCACACTTTGTAAATAATCTCTTCTAGCAGTTGTGTTTTCACAAGCAAATAAATCTGGTAGTTCATGTTTGTTTGGTCAGGCCTAGCAGATGAATCATTTCCCTCTCCAAGGACTCGAAGAGTTAATTTACATTGGCTGGAAAACTTCCTCACCTACTATGAGGAACCACACCTTTTCCACCGGTAGTATTGACATTAAAAGTAAGTGATCTGCAATAAAAAGTAATGAAAGTCTCCCTGTTTTTTAATCTCTTGAGAAGGTGAATCTGGAGAGGAAGGTGCTATAGACCTCAATGAGTCAGGTTATGCTGATGGTCAATGCAAGGAAAGCAGCTCAGCTCCAACCACTGATTTGAAATGTGTTTAATATGTGCCCAGGCCATGAGATAAACAATGAACGGTTGTGACAGCAAGAGACTAAAGGGTGCAGAAGAGTCTTATCCTGGACTTGACATGGGGGACAGTTGTATTTGCAGAAGATGACAGCAGTAATTTGCTTGCTCTGTACAATTCATACTAGAAGTTTGGAACAGGACAGGAGTGGAAAAGTAGGGCTTTTACACATGACACCTTCCATGAATGGTTAAAAATCAATCAATCAATCAATCAATCAATCATCCTGCTAAATGCTGCTTGAGTTCTGCAAAACTCAGATATCCATGATTCTGCTGCAGACCATAGGGATTTACTTAAACTCCTGTGAGAGGAGAAGGCCTCTTACTCTGGAATCTTAACCATACCCAAGGGTTATACGATAGGTTTGATTTATAGGGTGTGTGCCACAGGCACAGATTTTCAGCCCGTGGCCCCTTCCCTCCGCCGTGGGACCAAGCATCACTCACTCCCAGCTTGGTGCCGGTCTGCTGCCTGGTGGAACCATGGCCCATCCTCACTGCTGACCAAATCCTCCTTCCACTGGCCTTCATAGCACGTGAGAGTGGAAAAGTTCCTAAGATCAAGGATTCCAAAAGTGTCACCAAGAGCCAAAGTCCTAGTGGTAAATGTCAAAGTCTTCTCACACATTGAGCCTGTTTTCTCAGGTGCATGGATGACCAAAGTGGATGGGGCTTTGCACTGGATGAAATTTCCTTGTAATCTCTAAGTAAATACTCCCAAACACTCAATTAGGACAACCGTACGGTATTTCCACGCAAGTGGACATTCACTCTGTCCAGCATATAAGCTTTCTTACCAGAGAGTGTACCAGATACACCTTCAAACTCCATACTCTTTAGTAGGTACCTAGGCAGAAGGTGCCAATGCATTTAAGATCATGGGAAAGCCCTACGTAATTGGGTTTATAAGGAACAGTCCTGTTTTTCAGAGTGTTCACAAGCACTTTCTAATTACACAGCCAATATGGGACTTTTCAAAACAGAGATTTATTTATTTATAGTTAGATTTGTAATTTGACATCAGTGCATTTCAGAAAATAAGTGTCATTACTTTGCCTTTGGTTTCTTGACTACAGAAGTACTGTAATTGTTGTGGTAGGAGTACATATAAGAAAAATATCCCACAACAGAGGCCTTGGTGAAAAGTCCCATTCCTGGAAAACCATCGTGTTGCTTGTTAGCACACTGTGGTTTGGGGGCTTGTTACTGCTTTTTATTTGCTTTTGTATTTTGCTTATGCACTAGTATAACCTATCCCTTTTCAGAATAGCATTTTTATTTTCATGCTATGTTTGGCTCTTTTTTAGTCTTGATATTCTTTCTTTATAACATTCAAAGCTAAAACTCAGAAAAAAATTTTCGCAAGCGGTGGTGACGGAAACCAGTATCCATCCCGTGGACCACCTAATCTCACTGAAATTACTAAATTAGAACTCCCCAGTGTTATGTACTGTTTTTCAGTCCTGCTCTCTGTGTTTGTCCTTGCAGTTTTGTCTGCACAGTAATTTATGTCTGCTGGAGACAGGAGCTATGTGCTGAGGCAGCACTCTGAGAGGCTGCTGCAAGCTGGTTTGGGCAGCCAGACCTTGGCATGTCACCCCGCACCCGAGCCTGTTCATGCCCTGGCTTGAGGTGTTCCCAGCACCTCTGTGTTTTGGGGTATTAGCTTTTAAAGCTTGTGTAGGCTGTGTTTTCAGATTATTAATTCCAGTAAACACTGGTTTTGGACTGAGGGGTTTTTTAGTGTTAGTAATAAATTACTGCTCCCTTAGGGTCCTCGCTTCAGTGGAAATCTTACTAAATAAGAGCTGTAAAATCTGATCCAATACTGTAATTGTGAGAGGGAAAAGTTGTGTCTTCAGAATGATGGAAGGTTTGAGGAAAAAATACTATGTCATATTCTTATGAATTGCTTGGCTAGAGTATTTTTAAGTCTGCTGGTAATCGAACAGCGTGAGCATCTCTGTTTGCGCTTACTTTCAGTCGACCTGTGTTCTTTTCCAGGTGGTGCTTGGCAGTTTGCATTTAATGTGAAATTCTACCCTCCAGACCCTGCCCAGCTATCTGAAGATATTACCAGGTGTTTAAAACATTACATACCTTTCTAAAAGGGGCTTAAAACTGTTCATAGTAGTGCTTGCACTGTAATTATCCAAGAAAAGGAATGTTTTGTATTCCCGTTGGCCTCCTTTCTCTTATGAGCTTATGGAAAATATGCGATGCTTTGACAGAAAAGACACTGTGAGCAGTGTCTGTCCTCTGAGCTAAGACAACTTTATATTTTCTGCAATTTAACCCTAAAACCAAGCTTTTCCAGCATACAGATTCCTTAGAATTGATTTTAATTTTCAGAAGGATGCCTGATGCCCAGTTTTGTCAGTGGTAACGAGTTAGTATTGCCAGTTAAATCGTAACTATGAAGGGAAAGAAGTGGGATATGGAGAAGCATCCGTGTAAATTTTGTGTGTCATTTGACGAGGTGAGCAGTTGACATGCGTGGCACAGGGAATATAGTGGTAGTGAATGGCTGCTCCCTGCTATTCCAGTCAGCGCTGCAGGTTGCACCTCTGCTCTCTGGTTTTGTATACAAGATTGTAAGCACAACCAAAAAAAATTAACCTCACCTTGTTTCCTTCTGGATATAATGCAGGAGAACCTTGGTGCCATGATGAGTTTTATGCCATTGGCAAGCTGTTCCCTAGCCTGTTCTAACATTTTGCAACCCGTGGATATTTTTGATCTTTGTTGCTTGTGGACTGTGTGTTGCTTTTAAGGTAGCATGAAGCCTTTGGCTTAGATCAGACTTCCCTGTGCTAGGCTTTGTGCAGAAAGACAGTGTGCCAAGAGTTCACACGTAACAGAGGTCTTCCAAAAGAAAGGATTGTTTTTTCTCTTCTTGTCACTCTCAAATCTCCCATGGGAACTCTGTGCCTGTTCATTTTTTTTCTGTTTTCTTCTATCTGGTGATCTTTTGCACTGCTTATCACCATGGTTTTAACAGTGTTTACTGTTTAAATGTGTTTTTGAGAAAGCTCAACAGTTTGCTGAAGAGATAACTTATGTTTTCTGAACAGCTTGGAGTTAAGCCATCCTTTAATCAACAATATCTGAGGGTTTTAATTATTTTTTCTCCTTAAAGAAAAGAATTAATCAGGTAGCTATATATCTTAGTGATTTATGATAGAAACCTGGTATGTTTGATGGGTAATTCTCTATCTAGATCTCTAAGCAAAGTAACAACCTCTTTTTATTAAGAAGTCTCCATGCTGCTTTATAAAGATAAATCAGGCATTGCTACCCATGAGTTAGGCAAGGGTTTTTTGTTTTGTTTTGTTTTTTTCCAAAATACTATAATCCATGTTAACTCCTGAAAAACCTTGTTCTTTGGAGTTTTCTGCAACTTAGCAGAGGAACTGAGCCTTCTTGCTGGTCTTTGGGCAGTGTTGGAGGAGCACTTTCTGAGCGGCCCTGGTGCTCCGTTGCAGGTACTACCTCTGCTTGCAGCTGAGAGATGACATCGTGTCTGGTCGGCTGCCCTGCTCGTTTGTCACCCTGGCCCTGCTGGGCTCCTACACCGTGCAGTCGGAGCTCGGCGACTACGACCCCGACGAGTATGGCAGTGACTACGTCAGCGAATTTCGCTTCGCGCCAAATCACACTAAAGAGCTGGAGGATAAAGTGATCGAGCTGCACAAGAGCCACAGGTAAGGCAGAGGGCATCCTTCAGGTACTGTATTGGTGCATCAGGAAATGTTAAAACCTGTTGCAGTCTACCTAATAAAAATATTTTTTGGACAAGACTCCTCTCTGTGTCTTTGGTTAAAGAAGAGCTTTGTAGCATGAAAGATAACAGGGTCTGTACCAAAGCATTGGCTCTGGTAGGTTCCCAGCTATCTAAGGAGTGCAGCTGTAGTTCTCACAGGCTGAACGTGTTTTCCAGGTGTTGGATTTTATTTTGATCTCTCTTTCCTTAACAGTGATGCTAGAATCATTTGCTTTTCCTCAGGGGAATGACACCTGCAGAGGCTGAGATGCATTTTCTGGAGAATGCCAAAAAACTGTCAATGTATGGAGTAGATCTCCATCATGCCAAGGTATGGACTCTAGTTCTTTCACTGGTCATCTTTCTCCTGTGTCATAGTACTTGAATCTGCATGGACTCCCTGATTTGTTCTTTCCCGTTGATTTGAGATAGGCATTTTGGGATAAATCGTGTCAGCATGAGGAAAGGTGATTCATAGGATGAGCATAAATATGTATTCTAACTGTAACACAACCTAGCCTATAGATTCAAAGATGTTTCACATCAACCTTTCAAGTTGAATAAATGGCCAAATCCTTTGGGAAAATATTGAATGGACAGAGTAATGAGGAAGGGTATTAGAAGCTGTCCAGAACATGATAAATTGTCATTTCATTCAACTACATTTTTTAATTTAATAAGGCCAACTATGGTACCTTAACTAGATAAGCAGATAATTTCTAACACGGCAGAGAACTTCCAAGCAATTATTTAGCCATGCTGGAAATGTAATCAGATTTATAGTAATGGGGAGTCAGCGGCTTGTCTCTCTTTGAAAGTGTGGTCCTCGCAGTTGACTGGAAGGGCAGCAGTTCTGCTGGAAATGTTTTCCCATGATGAAGTAGTTTCTCTAATCATCACCAGGTTAAGTTATGAATAAAACATGGTCATTCTTATTGTAGCTTGAGAAAGCCTTGTGTTGGTTGTCTGTTTTTTGGTTGTTTTGGGTTTTTTTTTTCCAAATAAATAATTACTTTTTTTTTCTTCACTCTTCAAAGTAAGTCTAATGGATCTTAACATCTTTGAGGTTATCAAACATCCTTGGCAAATGAATGCTGAACAAAGAATCCTGAGCTGTGGAGAGCACTGCATTTTCTGTAAAGGTCAAATCATTGTGAGCCTGGTTTTATGCTGCAGCAGATTCTTTCAAGAACTGAGATAAATTTGCAGCTTGAAAAGGCCTGCAACCATTTCCCTGGGGCATTCTGTAGGAGCTGTGCATGTGTGTTACAGAATTCAAGGCAATCTTTTATGTTCTGTTAATAGCCTTCACTGAAAATGGAAAATCTGGGTATGGCTCAATGGGCAGCGCTGTACTAGGAGGCGTGCCGCTGCTTTCCCTGTGTCTTGCAGATAGGCACAAAATCTTGAGGCACATTTGGAGCAGAGATAAAAATGGATTGGCAAATGTCACTCAGTAGCTTTTTTTCAATATCCTTTGTCCAACACAAATTTGCAAAACAGCAACAGAGTTCCTGTTCAAAATACATTACAGGTTTCATTACTGAAAATTTAACATAGCATTAAAGCCTAAGTATTTTTTTCAGAACATTGGAGAAAGGCTGTGAAATTTAAGAGAGGATATCCTGAGACAACCATTTTATTTTTTTTCAAAAAAAATTAGTATCCAGTTTTACTCTTTTCATATGGAAAGACTCGGAGCAAGATAAGTTGGTAGACAAGCTGATCTGTCTCTAAAGTGATGTTTTTAATTTAAAAAGCTGTAGTGCTAACTGAATTGGGTCTGTCTGTAGGTTAAGAAACCTAACAGTATTCTTGGAAACTGAGCTGAAGGTGGGAAAAGTAGACTTTGCATGAGAATTAATGTTTAGTTTTAATTAGGTCTTCCAGTGAGATCTGATGATATTCAAGCTAGGGGACAAGTATCTCTGTGGATGCCTTTTTGAAGTCACACTGTGGCAGATGTCTCTATGTAATGTCAATTCATTAAGGCTGTGCCAATGTCTTAGGTATTCAACAGATGTTAGACTCATCAACTGCTGTTAAAACTAGTTCCCAATTATCCAACACAAAGCTTCAATAAAAAATGTGTTCAAATAGACAGGTTTGTCCTCTGGGCTGTCACTGCTCTGATAAAGACCCCCATTCGTATGCAGAGGTGCAGGGATGTGCAACGTAGGATGTCATGGTTCAGACATTACAGCTAATGGTTTTCTGTTCTGTGCAACCACGTCGCCCCTGAAAAAAGCCAAATTCTTTTCTCTGGATTTCATTTTGCACCAGTAGTATCACATTGTAAAGCAGTCTCTGACACCAAGAAGTAACATGAATGGGCTTACATCTGCTGCAAAGGTGGGAACAAGGGAAGAAAGCATTTCTCAACATTTTTTTGAGAAAGTCCATCAGAAGAATGAGCCCCTTGCACCTGCGACTATGTGCTGTATGTGAGCATGTGTGCATTTCAGGCAATTGCCAGGCAGTGATATTACTGGCAATGAGACTTCCTTTTTTTAGAACGTATTCACTGTATTTAGATATTACTCTCTGTTTACAAAACTGTGAAATTGAAGTCTGCTGAAAAAAATTAGCTTTGTCTCTTCTATAATACCTGACGATGTCACACAAGAGCTTAATTTAGATAAAGTCTGACTTTAAGGGGTGATGCCATCATTACTGGAACATAAATCCTATATTGGTGTGTTTCCTGTCACTGAAGTGACTTGGTGGCACTAATTCTATGTTGTGTCTCTGGTTTTAATTTTTTATTAGTATTATTTCAAGCTATGCTGTAGCCTTTTCATCATGACCGACCATGCATGCCTTTATGTTCATCTTGAAATGTAATCAGGTTTTCACTGTGTGCCTAAATGATGGCTTGTTGGGAAAACCAGAGGAAAACTATGAATTATTTTCACTATTATCATAGACTGACATCTTCATAGCTTCTGTTGTCAGACTTTTGTAACTTTAAGTTATTTTAAAATAATTAAAAGAATTCTGTGCTTTAAGGTAGATCTTTCTTTTCTCCAGCAGTATTAGTACTTAGCTAAATGAAAAAAAAACCAGAATTATACAGTGTAATGCTGACAGCAAACATTGAAGGATGGTTTTAGACTATTTGAAGGCTTCTAAAGGAAAGAGAAGTGTATACTTCTTACTTAAAAATACATATTTATGGGTATATTCCGATAATATTGTGGCCAAATCTTTTGTAGTGCTAATGTGTCTGACCTACAGCTTTCCTGTCAAAAATGGGTTATAGCACAGGCACAGTCACACACTTCTTTTAAAAGGATCTTTCTGGTCCAGATGCCCAACTTTCTGCCCGCTGGTCATTTCAAAGTGGAAATACTGAGCGTAGGCACAACAGCATTAAAGAAACCAGCGAAAGAACTAAAGACAAGATGAGCAAACTACAAAAGAAAAATCTAAGGATTCACAAGGCTTAGTCATGGAAATGAGTGATGCAGGGAGAAGTAAATTCGTGTGCTGTCCTACTTACTTTCAATCTGGTATTTATGCAAATAGCACTTTTATTATGCTAATAAAATCTTGCTATATGGTTAATATCATGCTTTTAATAGCATTTAAAATTTCCCTCCTTCTTTTGGAGTCTTTCTAAAATACAAGGGAACATTGTCAACACTCAGTTTCACTCACCCTGCCCAACCTTGCTATTACTTGCATGAATGCAGTCAATGAGCGGGGTAGCTCTCAGAAATCAGGTCACTACAGCTGATGCATTAAAAAGATGTAGCTCAGATAGAAACACAGTATATGAAAGTCTGTAGTACTGTGGGATGCAAGGAGGGAAATACTAAACAAAGTGCATTGCTTGCTTTTCCAGGATTCTGAAGGAGTGGAAATCATGCTAGGAGTTTGTGCAAGTGGTCTCTTAATATATCGAGACAGACTCAGAATAAATAGATTTGCCTGGCCAAAGGTTCTGAAAATTTCCTACAAGAGGAACAACTTCTACATCAAAATCCGACCAGGGGAGGTAAGGGCATCCTGGCACTCTTTAGTGAATGAACCTTTTCAAAAAGCCCGTGTTCATATTGATTTGTTGATTTGGCATGCCTTACAAGCCTTTAACATTGCTCTCCATTTATATTTTTTCAATTTGTACTGATTTTCTTAGGAAGGATTAAGTAAATACTTTATTTGAAATACAGGTAAAATCTCCTTTGGCGTTCTTCTGTTTACATCCATGAACTAACATAAAGAATAAATATGACCATCTGCATATAAAAAGATAATCTGTATTATGAATACTTTGGGAATTGAAGTAACATACTGCTTATTCGTGGAGTGCTCATCATCTACCATCCTGTTGTATATTAAATTAGTGTCTATTCATCTTACCCACTAAGAGATGTAGACAGGCCATACCAAATTTTGTATGTATATCAGAGTAGTAAATCTGGAGTCTGAACAGAAATCTGGAGCCTGATAAAAGTGAAGTCAAGCGTCCATCATTCAGCATTTTTGGTAGCTGCAAGCATTAGTCTTGACAGGCCCACAGCAGCTCCCGTTGTGGCTCTAGAGGTGGTGATGTGAAATCTCATACAGTGAGTGCCCTCTTGTGGCTCAGCTGTAGGCACAGCACATACCTACCTCGTGTTGAGCGAGCACCAACGCAGAAATAAAGATGTTAAAATTTAGCAAAAATCCCAGGAGGAGTTCTGGATCATCAGAGGCAAAGGAGAGTCTCCATTGTAAGTGCTAGTACAGTAATTGACCTGTGATGAAAAGCCCATATCTGTTTTAGAGGGTGGAGCTGCATAGCAGGACAGAAACCACCTGGATGAGGACTGGCATTTCTTCCTCTGTGCAATATGGTAGTTGAGAGTCCCAAGTCAACATCTCCAGTACTGACTTTATAAGTGACAAGGAAAATCTGCTAAAGTCCCCACCAACTCCAGGGCCTTGAGCCCTAAACCAAAATCCAGAAACCTACATCTCCTGCCTCTCAGCAGACAGTTTTGGTAACTAACTTCCCAGTCCTGTGTTTGATTTAAAAAACAAAAACAAAAAACACACCACAAAAAAAAAAAACCTCAAATAGCCACTGCTGTTCCCAATGTCTGCACTCAAGCTCTCCACCACTGAAGTCCTGTTGAACTCTGCTAGTAGCAGAGCTGTAGCATCCTGTGACCAGGTCATGAATCATTATGCAGAATAGTCAATGCAGCCTTTTTCCAAATCACATTTGATGATAATGTGATTAACCATCCCATGTGTTGCTTATATTATTTTTATTGTTTTGCTGTTTCCTGCCTTGATTTTCTCCGTCAGCTCCCTGTAGGGATCCAAGCTTCCTTACAAGTGCCCTTCTGCCTACCTTTCCCCAGTCCCAGCAACACCATTTCACCTATTCAGCTACCTGCATGTAGCCATCAACGTGGTACAGTGGTTGTAGCTGACACAGCTTTGGCTTATGGAATATAAATCTGCAGCACAACCTAGAAAGGTCTCTTAGTATCCCCAGCCGACTCTTTCAATTACCTGTCTTTTCCTCATCCTCTCCAGGAGATAAATTAGCTAAAAACACTGTGATTTACTAACTCCAGTTCTTTCATTGTATATCTCCTTAATCTAAGGCTGTGTGAGACCAGATCAGTCCCCGGGGACTGCAGCTTCCCTCCAGGCCATTATCAGGCTTCCCGCTGTTGCTTAAACTGGTGAAGTTAAAACAACAGGGTTAAAACACTTAAGTGATGTTTTTTCTCAGAAGTCTCCGAGGTCTTAACTGATCTATTTGTTACTATAGAGCGCAAAACATCTCTGTCACCATCAAAAACTTCTTGCTCGTTATCTGGATTTCCCCCAAAAAACCATCCTTAGAGGTTGGCTTTGATTATCACTCTCAGCTTCCTTCCCAGACAGGAGCCTGTAGAATATGTATATATGTGATTATATACATGAGCATATGCATTAAAAATAGATGCATAGCATCAAACACATACTTTTTCTTTTTTCCTACCTAGTTTGAGCAGTTTGAAAGCACTATTGGGTTTAAGTTGCCAAATCATCGTGCTGCAAAGCGCTTATGGAAAGTGTGTGTTGAGCACCATACATTTTTCAGGTATGTGGATTTCTTTTCCTAAAGGTATGATATAAAGCACAGCAGAAAAGACCAATTCTGTCAGCAGAGACAAAACCCTTCAAATCAAATTGTCTTTTTGATCGCAAGGTATCTCTGAGCAGACAGAGAAGACAGGGATGGTTATTGCTTCTTCAAAATTTGGAATGTTTCATCCAAATTATTCATACTGTTTCAAACAGATACTGAATGTTTAAAATCACCATATGGTCCTAATTAATAGTTTTGCTTTATCTGTGCCATGATATTATCAGCTGCTATAATTAAAGAGAAGAAGGATGCTGCTGCAGTTCTACACATACGCTTGTATAGGGAGAACAACTTACTTGGAAAATTACTGGGGGATGTGGGTAGGAGTTTAAAATAAAAAAGGGATATTTTTATTTAATTACATGTGAAAATCCAGACAGCAGTTGGTGAATACCCAATCCATAGCTGTGATTTTTTAATTTTTTTTTTTACTGAGAAATTTTGCAGCTTCTTTTACACCTAAGAAGATCTGAGAAAAGTTTTGGGTAATGAAATAAATTCGGTAGTTAGTTTGTGCTGAGATACTTAGCAATGGGAACCCAAAAGGGTGAGATTTTTGGTGGTGTGAAAGGGCGTCCATCACTTAAAAACCCCTCTCAAGATTTTTGGGAGGACTGAAGAATTTCTCTCCTTTCGTAAAACTATTGGTTCAGGCTGCCTGTATATTCATATGAAATGCAGTTGTTGCAGCAAAAGATCTAGAAAGAAATTGAGTGTGCATATTTTGGGTGTTTGATTTTTAATGGAAAAATCAATGTCTACAGCATAAACTCCGTAGGAGGAAAATGGCTACTTCAGCAAATTCCCATAGCCATAATGCAGACGGTGGGAGGGCTGTAACCTGAAAAATGTCTGCATCCCTGTGAATGAATGCTGCCCTGCATTTGCTGGTAACCTGTTTTGGCCCTGTCCTCAGCCTGCCAGCACTGTCACAGATTTCAAACTTAAGAGATATATCTGTATTTCAGCCTAGATTGCAGTCCCTGATAATAAGGAACACCTTATTTTTACTTTTAATGATTAGAAAATAATAAATTGGATTTTCAAGGAGGAAGGGACTGAGTGATTCTTGTCAGTTAAGAAAAACTCAGCTTTTCAAATGCATTAGCTAAGTGGTTTTGTCATGCTGTATTCGGGGCATCCTCTGGTTCCCTTTTAGCCGCAGCCCTGTGAGGCCACGATGAAGAGTGATACCGAAATGGTCCTTTTCTCTCCTCTGCAGAAAAAGTGGGCTAATTTTTGGAGGATTGGGGAGTAACAGGTGCACTATTTGGTGTGTTTTAGGCTCCTGCTGCCAGAAGCACCTCCAAAGAAGTTCCTCACGCTGGGCTCCAAGTTTCGCTACAGTGGCCGGACGCAGGCCCAGACGAGAAGAGCCAGCGCCCTTATAGACCGTCCCGCTCCTTACTTTGAGCGCTCTTCTAGTAAACGTTACACTATGTCTCGCAGCTTAGACGGGGGTAAGGTCTTCTTAATTGACTTTGTCAAAAATTGCAGTCACAGTGGTCACTGCTTGAGATTAGGTCTAAACCTCCTGTCATCTCATCTCCTTGAGCTTCAGTGCAGTGGAGGCTGAGTACCTGCATGTTCCCTGCAGGGCTAGGAGAGGGTGCTGAGAAATACTGTGCTAAATGTACTGCAGCAGTCCTTACAAGTTGTTGGCCTGGAGGAGATCCTTGGGAGCCCAGGCTGTGGAGCTCCAATCCTTGGCCTCACACCTGCAAAGCACTTCCACGCTTTGGGGAAGGATGGGGTGCGTGGACCTGCCTGCCTGAGCAAGTCGGGCTTAAACGTATTTTCAGGATTGCATGAGTAACTGTTTGGGTTTTGGTTTAACTTGGCTTTTTTTTCCTATGTAGGTTTTTCATTTAAGTGTTTGTTACAATTCATAAATGAATTATTTCCCTTGATTGAGTTATAACACTTGTTTCCAATTACCTTGCATCCTAGATGGATGTGCGCTAACAGGTGTTTCCCATACATTACTTTTGAAGGTGTGAGATGAAGAGTAGCATAGGCAGGTTTATAATATATCCTTTCTCCTCCTCTCTGTCTCCATGGTTCATGGAGGTCACGGTTCTGCTCCTCCCCTAGGTTAAACCAGTGTATGATTCAGAGCCTCAGCTACTTCATCAGCTGTTACTGTTGTCAACTGTTGAGTAAAAAAAGATTGTAGTTATTTTTGTAGAAAAAAAGTCTTGAGACTAAATTCAGAATCACTACATTTGTTTTTGTTTTGTTTTGTTTTAAAAAAGGTGAATTCTCCCATAGAATATCACAAAACAGATCGCAATGAGTATAGCTGATGGTGGGGAGGGGGAGAAGATTTTATTTAAAAATACTAGTGACAAGCCTTCTTTTCTTCCCCCTAAAGGTGCTGCTTGTCATTAATTATTTTGGAATCTTCTAATTCTGATGTGCTTCTTGCTCGTTACCAAGCAACTGGTGACCTGATTGCTGTGCATGTGTCTCAAAGCAGAAATTATCCTTCTGCATTATTTTGTTTGTAACATCCAAATAAGATGTCTCCCTCTACTCTCTTTGCTTTCTCCTGCCTCCTAAGCTCATTCCCATGAGAAAAAATATCTGAAATGCTTTTCCCTGGCATTTGCTAGACTCCATAAGGTTTTTATGATGTTAATTGGCCTAAGTGCAAATGGGGAAAAGAGGTTTTTTAATCAATGCTTGTGATTTCTTTACTAATGTTCTTCCTATAATGCCAGTGTGGCTGTAACGTTCTGCATCGCTATTACACTGTGATCCCAGCCCTGTAATTTGTTACAGATGCAAGTAACTTTATAAATTTGCATACTCCTATTGACTTAGAAATCAGTTGCATGATAGTCAGAAGCAGGGTCTGGGTATATATTAATGTTTTGATTACATTCTATCTGTAAATTTACTATTTATTTCAAAATACTTTATATAAATATTTAACTTTGCTGAATTATCAAACATTTCCATCCTAAAATATTCTGGTTTGGTCCACTGAATTGAATGCCACCGCTTCCCAGAATTTTTTAGGATAATGAGCTCGCTTAACTGGCAGACTTTAATACTTGATAATACAAAGATCCCATCTCTTGGTTCTCCAATATTATGCCTGTGTTACATCAGTATTATCATTTTCTGGCAATGCAGTGTGTTGCTTGCCATGCATTTGATCTGCATTGTTATATTCAGATAGATTTTTTTAAAAATCTCTTCCACCCCCATGGCTGATGTCATAGCTGGTTCTCCTTATGTTTCCTGCCTGATAACTGTGGCAACGCATTGATTTTTTTTTTCTGATGCTTTACTACAGTAGCACTTTTAATGGCTTGCTAACATTTAACAACTGTGTAATGCGCACATTAGCTACAGTAATGTGTGCATACACATCCATAATATATGTTTATGCATATAAAAGCTACAAGCTTTATTTCAAGTAAACAGTTTTATTTAAATGTATGCACATGCTTCTGGTTTCCTGAAACATGACATAGTTGTGTTTTCAGCAATATCTCGAATGTTTTACTAACCCGGCTTTTTAATTTTATGCAGCTTCTCAGCAAAAGCTATTTCAGACTTTCCCTCTTTAAATATTTGCTTTTAGCATCAGTGAATGAAAACCATGAAATGTACATGAAGGATTCTGTGTCTGCTGCAGAGGTTGGTACTGGCCAGTACGCCACAACAAAGGGCATCTCTCAGACCAACTTGATAACCACTGTGACTCCAGAGAAAAAGGCAGAAGAGGAGAAAGATGATGAAGAGGGCAAAAAGAAGAGAGCAGAGGAAGTCACCCCAGTCTCGGCAATACGCCATGACACCAAGGTAGAGTTTTGAGGGTTTTGTATCAAACTGACCTGCCTGGAGAGTGCTCGGAGAAATGGAGAATTGTCAGGGAGGGAGGGAGATGTCGAGTTCCATGAAAGGAAACTAGAATATACATGGTTCTATGTACGTGTATGTGCGTGTATTGAATCAATATTTTTATAGTCCTTTCACATTTCATATGATGTTGTGAAAGTCAGTTCCTGGTTTGGACTGTTTTTTGAAATCCGTTTAGCAGTCAGCTCACTGTTATTTACATAGCATTTAAGAGCTCTTTAGGAAATACCCAAAAGTAGCCTGGCAGTGTACATTCCACTCCTTTGATCTTCAGTCATATTTTGACTTTAGTGGAGCATCATGTTTTTTATTTTTGACAAGGCAACTAAAATGTTCTGTGTTCTTGTATGTAGCTCTGTTCTTTATAAACTATTGTATTTTTCTGATTTACTTCTCATAACGCTCTGTTTCCTTGCATGTGTTTCAGTAAGCATTTTTCTCTATTAACTTTTGGGTATTAATATAATTATTTCAAGCTTTTTTTTCTGGCTTACAAAAGCATTTGAAGTTTTTGCATTGAAGAAAACTGTTCTGTTTTTCTTGAGGATTCTCTACTCTTTTGTTAAATTTGATTCACCCCACACCTCCTCCAATCCCACCACTGCCACATATATGTAGACACACGACTGTGCATTACATCTACTGAGTTATTAAGAAGAAGTAAAACAGAGAGACAGAGAAGACACTGCATTTCAGAGACTGATAGTGAAGAGAAATAAGGTAGAATCAGAAAAGGCTGGATAGGAATTGTCCTCTGTTTCTTTTACATTGAGGAGAAGAAAACTATGAAATATTGAATCCAGGATATAATTCAAAAAGTGTACTCTGGAGTGCAGTTGCTAAACAAGTAACATTTATCTTCTTCATTTGTGAGGAAAACATTTGATGAACACCTTTACACTCTCAAAACTGTCTGGAATGCAATGTTAGGGCCTGAACTTCTAGCCTTATCATGTAAGGCTGCAATGAGTTACATAGGTATAAGTACAAGGTCTCAGAAAGGGCTGTAATTAAGGTACCAAAAAAACCCCAAAACCCTCTCTAAATTTAACTGGGGTCTTCCTGAAACTCCATTAGTTTCTGAATGGAGAAACATTGTTGAAGATCAAATATGCAGAAAATATCTAATAGAAACTCATTCTGTTCCAAGTGTTTGTTAATTTAGGTCAGTGGAGAGATCAGCCGCATTTTGAAGATCATATGTTCCTTATATGTGGCTAGAACTAGTCAAAGATATTTTTAGGAGAATATCTTGATGTTACTTAAACATGCACAAATAAATTATTTTTACCACCCCCCAAGTGGTGGGTTCTGTTTAAACCACCCACTAATAGAGCTTCAGTTCTGTAAACCTGTAGAGATCTCAGTCCTGTTTCCATTGGACCTGCTAACAGCTCTGTCATTCATTATAGAGAGAATAGGGTCTCAAGAAACACAGGACAAATTTGAAATCAGATTCCCAATTAAGGGTCTATAAATTTTATAGGTAAGTTTTCAATTTTCCCACTAAGATATTTTTCCTTTGTTTTATCCATATGTATTTAAATACTGGAAGTTATTCTAAATATTAACACTGCAAAGATGTCAGTAAGTGAATAGTTTGTATTAGCAAAGGATAAATTTACTTTGGCTTTTTTACCTTTACAATATAAATAGAAGTTCTCTGTATTTAGCTCACATAAAGCCTTGTGAGTCTGTCAGCATTAAATTATGACTTGAGCTTACTCGATTAAGCACACAAAGAAGACAGTCGTAAGCAGTTTGAAGTTAGGCTTGGTTTTCATTGCTTAATATGGGAATATAGATTGCCTGAACTGATAGATTGGTTTTTTAAACTATTCTGTTTAGAGAAGAGAGAGAAACAGAATATTAAGAAGAAGCTCTTCCATGTAAATATTGGGCTTAAATCCCATTCCTACCATTTACATACCTGGTAAAGATTAGTTTTAGTAGCTAGTGTTGGTGCAACTTGTGTCTGAAACTTGAATCCTGCTTGTTGACTCAGATTTGGCAGCAGCTTGTGCAGGCAAATGTTGTTTTGGCTTCTAAGTCATTCTGCTTTGAGGAGCTGGGAGTGACCATGGGAGTGAAATGCTTTTTCTAACTCCTTGAGGAGATGCATGGTGGAGCAGCTCAGGCACTTAGGGTTTGGTTGTGGAGCCAGTGTGTCACTTGAGTGAACTGCGACGAAGTTGACTTTGGCCAAGACATCTCCAGTCCGTCAGGATCATGGCAGATTGGTTGTACAGGGGTATTGTGGTGGTGATGACTGTGTTGTTCTTCTAAAGAGTAGTCATGACAGCCCACAGGGAGCATGTTAGGTGATGGTCAGCGAGTTATGAGCCATTCCTCTTGCGAAATCACCTCTCTGTGCCTACCAATTTTTTGTCCTTGAATGACCTTAAAGACTGGTTGAATGCCCTACGAGTGGCGTGTCAAAGCAAATCCTGCTTGTTGGTAGCTGATGTTCTTCACATCGCGGTAAAATGTGTAGCAAAAGTGTTGGGTGAATTTTTGCCACTTAACTATGGATAGAGTCACTTTTTGACTATGGGGAGATTTGGCTGTGTGGGGCACAGACCTCTCTCTGGTCAGGCCCCTTTCAGATCCCCAGCGAGAGAGCACAGGGTCTGCCTAGCCAAAATGCTTAGCTGTCTTCTTTCAGCATGCCAAAGTGGTGGGGTGCAGCGTTGTAGGGGGCAGCAGGGTACGTGGCCAGGAGAGGGCTGCTGTGGCTCGTGGAAGGCAGGGTTGTGTGGGTACCAGCCTGGATGGGAATGGAAGCCATGCTGAGGAGCTGGCTGCTGGGATGAGTGTTCAGCCAGTACGGTTTTTTGCATCAGTAATAGCTGATGTATAGACTTATGTCCCCCAAAACCAGAATGTGTTTTTTATAGGTTTAGGAGCTATATATATGTATTTCTTTAATATTGTAATAGAGGAATTTGGGCACATAGAATTTTAAAATCCTTGAGGTTTTAATGATTACTGCTGAGGTGGTCCAAGGCATAGATGGGAAGCATCAGTCACCCGCTGGGTCTCCTCCTGACTGCAGGAGTGCTGTCACAAGCAGTGTTGGTATTAGAAATACATTCCCTCGTTTCTTTGTTGCTCTTCGTGTACTTCATATTTGCAAGCTCCTCACAATCTGAAGCCACTCTTTACAGTAAGTGGAAACTGGCAGCAACACCTGAAACTCCACATCTGGCCATGAAGGTTTTTGTGTAAATTGTGTGCTGCAGATGAGTACACAAATGCCGATTCAAGAAGTTGCCTTTTGTAAGCTGGAACCCTGATTCACTAATACCTGTGGTGTGCAGCATGGCAACATGTGCCATTTAACTCGGTGGAAAGCTATGGTGTGAAAATACTGTTTATAATTATATATATATATTATTTATCATCACAGAAGAAAATTAACTAATTACAGTTTTCTTTTTGTCCTTTTGCTTTTGCGCCTTGTTTGCTGCTCTTTCTCTGTCACCAGCCATCTTTGCTTGGCACTGACTCCCGCCACCCCTCGCCATCCTCGCAGCCTGGCCCCCCTGCATCTTCAGCAAAGCTTCGCAGGAGATGCAAGGAGAGCACTCGGACAAAGCTGTTGGGTTGCGAGGTGCCCCAAGAGAGCGCCCCAAAGCACGGCGACTCGGAGCCAGACTCTGACAGAAAGGGGCGAGTTTGCTCCGCTGAGCAAGATGTGGCTTTCGGCTATAAGCAAAAAGCCGGCAAAGGCGGAACACTGTTTTCCTTCTCCTTGCAACTTCCAGAGTCATTTCCTCCCCTCCTTGATGACGACGGCTACCTGTCCCTCCCTAACCTCTCCGAAACCAACCTCCTGCCTGCCAGTGTGCAGCACTACCTCCCCATCCGCTCTCCCTCCCTGGTGCCTTGCTTCCTCTTCATTTTTTTCTTTCTGCTCTCTGCCTCTTTCTCAGTGCCATACGCCCTCACTCTCTCCTTTCCTCTGGCTATGTGCCTCTGCTACCTGGAGCCCAAGGCGGCCTCCTTGAGTGCCTCACTTGCCAATGACCTGAGTGACAGTTCAGAGGAAGAGGTGTGTACCTCGGCATCGAACACACTCTTTTTTTGTGTTCAGTGCTTCAGTCCTAACCAGTGTTAGATTGCTGCAATAGTGGTCCTACTTTCAGAGCCTCATTTCTGTCTGTGCTGATATGTTAGAAGGGGTGGTTTGGGGTTTTTTTTTGTGTTGTTTGGGAGTTGGTTTTTTTCCTTCTATTTTTTTAATTTTTTTTTTCTTGTGTTGGGAGTGCCCGGGGTTAGGCACAACACTGTGTGGAAGTGGCTTCGTATGAACTGTGTCAGCAGATGCAAAGTGACTTACACTAAACAAATTGCGACTGATCAGCTCTGAAGTATTGTATCTGAACCCACTGAGACCTTTCTTCCCTGTATCAGTTTATACTAGGGTTAGAATAGTTAGAATAGTTATCTAAATAGTGGGAATTAAGTACCATTTCCCACATAATTACATATGCATGCATTTATATGTGTATGTATATATATTTTATTTATATAAATAGCTAGCCAATATTAATGAGAACCCTCACCAGCTTCAGGGTGTTGAAAATTCAGGTGAACTTAGGTTTTTGCAAGAGGCATGAACTGTAGCCCAAGCTCAGAAAAGGCTTTCTAGTCCAGCAAAATCTGGATCTGGATTTTAAGCCTTGATCCCATCTCTGCTGCAGATTAAATTGTTTTCCCCATCCTTAAATCCAAGGTATCAGTGAGAGGTCGGATTGGGACAGCTGTTCTGCAGCTGTTGGGGGAGCATGCTGTGTGGGCTGGCTTGCTGTTTGCAGTGTTACATTAGCACTGCCAAAACCGGTGCCTCAAGCCACCAGGGTTATCACAGGCCAATAAATCAACTGCAGGAGGAGTCCACAGTGGTTCTGGGAACTGTGGGCAAGGTAGTATATCCACAAGAAGGAAATAAATCTACTTGTTTAAGTAACATAGTAACTGGCATCTCAGTTTTTGCTGGAGCATAGTTATTCTTTGTTGTCAGAAGAAAAGAATAAGTTATTTTTTCCCTTATTTTTCCTTTTCTGCCTTCATCTTCAAATGTGAAAATACAGTATGTATTTTGTATGTCAAAAAACCCCAAAGCCCAGGTTAGGTAATCCCAGACCAGCTAGCCATTTGTAAAAAGCCATCTTGGCCACTTGTCAATGCCATTGCAGTGGTTGTCTTCAATAAACAAGTGTGCGTGTCTAAACATTTGTGTAATCTGCCACTGTTGGGTTTGTAAGACTTGCTGCAGGATTTCATTTCCTTTTGATGGAAAGCCAAAAGTCACATCAACTTATCTTGTAAAAACATTGTCATTAGATGCTTTTGGCTCTGTGATGCCTAACTAAATAATAATGTGCAATTTCTGATAAAAGGCATCCAAAATGTTGCTGTCTCATTTCGTGTCTTCATTTTGAGATAGCATTTAGGTCTCAATTTGCATTAGCTCTGCACTTGGATTAATCTAATAGCAATAACAGCATTAATACAGTGCCAGCTCCAGAGGCAATAACGATGCAGTGTTTATGTAATACATTGGTCTGCTCCTCTGTCAGAAATGAGCACTTCTTTTTGTTAGTAAAGTTAGGAACAATTGACCATAAAAATATATAAAATAGGCTTTTTAGTGTCGCTCTTTTATGAGGGTGATTACTCTGGCAGTGCTTCCTGGCAGACAACACAGACTTGTGCCTAATCCAGGGGGTATTTCTTGTTCAAAATATTGCATGAAAGTGAATATGTTTTAAACTTGGGCATGTCTGCATTACATTGGCAAAACAAATCACAGCAATTACAATCGCAAGTTAGAGGGGGTGCAGCGGCCGCACCTCAGGAGGCAGCTGCCTTCCCCAGCATCCGCACTGCAGCCCATCTCGGAGCTGAGCCTGACCTTTCTTACTCTCCAATCCAGAGGCAACGTGCCTTGCTGAGCCTTAATTCGCCACTCCCAGCTCTGCAGAAACCCCAGATCTTTATTTCAAGTAACTCGGTAACACTGACGTTGACTCCATGGCTGTTGATTGGCTTATTCGCAGACATGTATATTGCAATACAGCAAATTTTATGCCTTTTTTGAGGATTTCATTGCTGTTCTGGTAAAAGAAATGGAAACCTTTCCCTCCCCCTCAGTTCACAAAACATTGCACACAGTGATGCAGAAGGTTGCAATCAGTACCCTGAAGCAATCTCATACCTTGCAGAGCTCCATTCTGCCTTGAGCATTGCATCTGGAGGCAGTCTGCACAGCCAGAGACAGAATCTCACCCCTTAGATTTCATTAGCTTTGATGTTCATACCTTAGCAGCTAATAGTTCTATTGACTAAATGCCTAACTCATTAATTCCTTTTTTTTTCTGAATAGAAGTGACAATGCTTAGGTTTATATATATATATATATATATATATATTCAATTGTTTATAATGTTATAAAGATGTGAAATCTTTCACTAATAAAGAAACCATTTTCTAACACTTAAGTGAAAACAATTTGACCAGCTTAGGTAGACTGTTTTGACCTGACAGTTTCATTTGAAAATAAAAGCAGTCTGTCTAGTGAGTGGTTGTTGCTGGAAAAATTGCATGTAACTTGCACATTACTGTGCACTTACTGAATAGTCCAAAATGCCCACTTAATTCTTCTGCCTGTCTTTCAAGCAAGCAAAATTACTCAAAGGAAGGAATGATAGAGAACAAAATAATGAAAAAAATATCCAAAAAGCAGTTTTATGAAACATTGGAGTTGTCAAAAAATGCCGTAAGATAGGAAATTCAAGGTCAAGACTGATACTCCATCCACCAGTAGGTTGTTTTTTAATCTTGTTCCATACTGATGTGATCTGAGGATGAGATGTATTGTCCTAATTATCTAAGGACCACAGAAAATCACTTCTCAAAACCATAGCTTTCACTGATACGAAAACAACTTGGATGTGCCAATCTGGAGCAGTAGGGAGCACTTTCTTTCCTTGTTTTCCATAAGTTTGCATAATATCAAAAATAGTAATTTGAACTCTCTTCTCAGCCTATAGTAACCTGCACTTGACTCTCTATTTATTAAATATCGACACTAGTGTTCACCACTAAAATGTTCTTCACAGTGTCAAGCAAAGCAGGGCTTAGATCAGTCTGTGCAATGCTGTGCTTTGTTTCATTTTTATCACTTGTACCTAGTAAGTGTTTTTGGGAGGGGGGAGTTACTTTTCTTTCTTTCCTGCTTTCATCCATATTATTAAATGGAGTAAGAAGTATTTTTGATTCTTTTAATGGCAGTTTTCTTTCTTTTTACTACTGTTAACAATATCAGCTGCTCTTTATTGGAACCGAGTGGGATCTGAGCCTTACCATTACTCCTCAGACAGACAGTAGATGGGCTGGGGGTATGGTTGTTTGAACTCCTTGGTAATGCAGACAGCCTCATGGTGTATAAATGTGGAGACAAGAACAACTTTTGTACAAATGAGGGGCTGAAAGTCAGGTGACTGTTAAAGTAGCCTTTTTTTTTTTTTTAACTGTCTTTTCCCCCTCCAGATAAAAAGGCAAATACCAAATCTGTATTGGCTAGAACAAAAGTTTGATTAATATTTTCTTTTAAAAAAAAAACTTTATGGGAGGAAAAGTTTGTTTAGAAAATATTAGCTTCTTTGTTTTTTCCATTTTTTTTTAAACTACCTGGCTTTCTTAAGAAAAAAAATATCTGCTATTCAAATAACACTTTTCCAGTAATGTTTTGTTTGGCTTATAAATTTGTTCCAGTAAAGCCATATACCGTGTACAGTACGCCTCGAGTCTTCCTCTGAGTCTGTTCTGTTTACTAATATAGCACTTTTATTTTGCTTCTTTGACTTGTGCGTGGTTTGAAAAGCAATGCTAATGCAGTACGCAGGGATGTTGAGTTTAACAGCTCCCCCCATGTGACCCGCGTGTACTGATGAGCTGGGTTTATTCTTTATTCCTGCCTTCCTTTCGGGACCCGGCTTCTTCTCTAACCAAACAGACTGACAGTGAGCAGACGGATACTGCAGCTGATGGTGAGACCACTGCCACCGAGGTTTGTACAGTTGTCAGCACCCTGTGATGGCAAGGCGGGGAGCATTTTGCCTCATCTCTTCCCCATCCCGAGTGCCAAACCGCATGTCTCAGTTCAAGACCCCTCGCTGCGCCCGTGTGCATGTGTGAGGGCGAGAGCTTGGCTCAGCAAGTTTTGGGTTTTTGGTGCTCCCTACTGGTTCCTCTTCTTTCTGCGTTCGGTTTGAAGACTGGAAGGATATGGTGCTGTGCAGGTAGCGGGGTGATGGCAGTGTCACCCGCACCGGTGCTGCCCACCTGGAATGGTCATACTACCGGGTTGTACCCTGGGTTGTTCAGTTTGCTTGTTTGCTGTTGGTTGATCTGCAGACTGTGAGTGGGGGAAGGACAGTAAAAAGCAGTTATCAGATTTTCTGCATAAAAGACATGCCAGATTATAAATACCTTAGGTTTCCCATGAATGTAATTTCACATGTCACCTTCACACATTGCCACCAGTAGTCCAGGTATTGTCCTGAAAGGAGGAACCTAAAAATACTGCGATTTTCTTTGCACTGAGAAGCCTCGTATCCACAACATGGTATATAGACTGCATGGGCAAATTCAACCCTGTGTTACTCCAGTGAAGTGCATATAATGCTTTCATAATTAATATGGTTGCAGCTGCAAACATGAGCTGAATTTGGTCTGACATCTGGTAGAAGACAGAACCTTACCACAAACACTACTCCGTAGGTTTTCAGTAGGATCTCATTAATATTTCAGACTGTTAAAATTATCGTCAAAGAAAAATTGTCGGTATGATGTGTCAGGGTAATTTGGCTTTGGCTGTAAATAGAATAGATTTAAACTGAGTTATAAAGTAATCAACAGATAAAGATTTTCCCATGGGTCATTTGACTAATTAGGACTGTATGCAAAATTAACAATAAAATAGTGGCATGTGTATTAAAAGAACCTAAATGGAGCAACAACACAAAGTCTGTTGAGATGCGTCAGGAGTACTAAATGCTTTGAAGTGCCTCTTGCACTGTATGGCTTCAGGCCTTGAGCCATACAGAAAGTAAAACATCATCCTAAAACCATGACATTTAAAATGTTCAGTTTATTAATCAAAAATACACAATAATCTCCCTAGCTGCCATTTTGATTTTAGGGGAGAAGATTATGTGAACCTCAGTTTTCCTTATGGGTACCTGGTTTTCAGAAAGTGTGGTATACTTTCTATCTGAAAATTCAACCCACAGAAAGGGGGCTGCTTAGGCATTCCTCATGGCATTGCCTTTAAAAATGTGAGCTGCAGTGAACATGTATGCCATTCCGGAAGACCACCACTGCAGATAGATCATGGAAGAATATATAAAGGCTAAACATGAAATGAAATTATATAAATTAAGAAAGAGACTAGGGCTAGGGAAATAGCATTTTAAGCAAATAAAGTGTGCTTCATTCTGTAAATAGGGTTGTTTACCCATAGCGAGTTTATGCAAAGCGTTGCCAGTGGCCCAGGAGATGTCCTGTGTTTAAACTCTGGGATTATGGACTTCTGAAGAATTTGCTGTCACTGTTTGGTCCTAAACCAGCAGCTATCTCTGGTTATGAGAAGGTTCAACTACTGCTTCCTAAATAGAAATCTATGAATGTGGAGCACACCAGTGATATTTATAAAAGGAAAATATTTCATATTCCTTTGTTCACAATTAACAAATTTGAAAAGAGGAGGCTTGCTCTGAGTTAGAAAGCTGTGCAAAGTCAGCCAGTGTGTCTGCTCCTTCTCCTTTAGCATAGAGGAAATGTGTTTTTAACCTAGTGTGTTCCTTTCACCAATTTTTGTGAAGCCTTCAGCCATACAAGTGAGTGAGGTGTTGTTTTCCAATCTTTCTCATGCTGGCAGTCGGATCAAGAGGAGGACGGAGATCTGAAGGCACAGGTACAGACACGAAAGGTCCAGATGTTGCTCAAGTACCAATGTTGGAGGTGTTCACCTCTCAGCATGTTATTGTCAGTTCTCTGTGAAGAAATGTGTAGAAACAGCATTTTGTACCCTTTCAATACTGTGTCCCTTACCTTTCCCTTTCTTTTTCACTTCTTTCAGAATAGTCTGATTAAGCGAATACAGGGTGAAAATGTGTATGTCAAACATAGTAATCTTATGTTAGAGGTTGGTATTGGTATATACCAGTGCATGTACGTACATGTGTGTTAGTTTTAGTGGTAAACTGTGAATCTGCACTATGATGCATGAACTGTGTATTCCCACCTGCTAATAAAACAAATAGATACTATTTTTCTCAGATTATGATGACTCCTCTAACTTGTACTATAAATATATATATATGCGTGTGCATATGAGTGTGTGTGTCCACGCGCATATGTATGTTTGTTTGAAGCTTCTTTATCAGGTGTAAATTACAGTGATGCAGACAAGCTCTTTAAGAGTCTTTTTATACTCACTTGTACGAGAGATGCTATGCTGTTATCTTTCAAAATGCCACATTTTCACAGAGTGTTGTGTTAGTGCTGTGCTCCCCAGCTCCCTGAGATGTTACTTCCCTCTTTACTAACCAAGTTGTGTGTTTTGGCTCTAAGATTTGGTTGGCTTAGGTTGTTATTACAAACTGCTCTATTCTTTTAAAACTGTCCAGGACCTAGACAAAACCCAGGAAGATCTGATGAAACATCAGACCAATATAAGCGAGCTGAAACGCACCTTCTTGGAAACCTCCACAGAAACGACTGTGTCTAACGAGTGGGAGAAGAGGCTTTCCACATCTCCCGTTCGGCTTGCAGCGAGGCAGGAGGAAGCTCCTATGATTGAACCACTAGTGCCTGAAGAGGTCAGCGTGAGCTGAAAGGCTTCCTTACCTGTTTGTCTATTCATTTTTACTTGACTTAGCTCTCAATAGATTTAGAGGCCATAGTTAGAGGCTGTTCCCCACTTGCAGGTGCTCCATTTTTCTCAAGACTCAGGCTCTAGCAACAGGTAATGCAAGGAAGAACAGATACCTTATATATATAGAGAGAATGTGAATATGAAATTCACTGTAAGCTGGATGGCAGAATTGGGTCTCTCTAAGAGTGCAAACTGCAGGCTTCCTTACAGGTTCAATGAGCTTGGGGAAGTCCAGCCATGCATGAAAGAAACCACGAAGGTGATGGAGAGAAAATTTAAATAATGGTGACTGGTTGGGAGCAGCAGTGTGGCAGGGATGGATGAGGGTACCAAGCTTGACAAGAAAATACAGAGTAAAGGGCAGAATGCTCTGTCTTTGAAGGCAGGGAAGAAGTAATGATGATAATTAGACCTGCTTGGCCTCTTCCATAAGGGAACTGATAGTTGCTGCAGTCAGATGGATACCCTTTCATTGAAGACCCAATGCAGATTACTAAGCGTGTGCATTTTCATGCAGTGTGCATGCATGAAAAAATCTTGCTTGCTGTGCAGTCTTGTAGTGTTTGCAAGAAACTTGCTGATTAAAAAGCTGTCTTTTATTTAGTTTGTGGACAGATCATGAGATGCAGAGGCAACAATTTGTGTTGCCTTTAAAATACATAGAGCTTAAAAAAAAAGCAGAGAATCTTTGTTTAAATCCAGTGGAGCAAAAATAGATTTTCTTGCATGATCTGCTTGAAGTAATCTTTTTATTCTATTGTGGATGGATATCTGGTTTCTGTCTCACAGGAACCATCTTTATGGTTACCACTTGTTTATAGCATTACAGACCAATAAATAGCCATAAAATTTGCTTCTGTCCCCACTCCCAGCATTGATGTAATGTAAGGAACTCGGCAAAAATTGGCTGGAAAGTGTAATTTGGAAGAGCCTTCTGCTTTCCCACCTTAGAGGTTGGCATTGCAGACATACGGCTCTCTGTGGAAGGGAATCTCTGGGGTCACGCAGATAGCACAGGTCAGCTTCTCCTCTTCGGGATAGGGTTGTTGCCAAGAAAAAGGCCTAGCTCTTCTTCTCCCTCATCTTCTCTCTACCAAGTGGCTGCTACTAGCATCGAATCATCATTAGAGCAGCCATCAAATTAGATTAAAATACCTAAAAAGCAGATTCTGTGCCCATAGTTTACCTTTTGGAGAAGAGCGCTGAGGAGTCTTAATGCTCCTCCTACTGCCTTGTTCAGGAATCAGATGCTATGACCATGTTAGTTTGGTTGTAGCTGAAAGTACAGGTTTTCTTTCTTAAAAGTAAGATTGTAAGTATGATAAACAAGGATGTATTTAACATATTAAAGGTGTAAGGAACTGTTGAAAGGGAGTGACTGGCTAGCTGACCCTGAATCAGACAAGTGCAGGTGAAGTAAATTTATAGCCCTCCCCCCGCAGTAATGTTTGTATTACTTTAAAAATTTAATAACAGCTTTTAATTAAACTGTACAAGCAGTGGCAAAGCATCTCATAGTTATGTAGGCTGCACCCTGAGGAAACGCATCCAAATTTAACCATTCATTTGGAAAGGAAAAGGGCAGGAATTATCTTTATCTGATACCTCTTCTCTTGCTGGAAGAAAAAGAACTTGCTCAAAAGCAATGTCCAGTTACTATATCTATATGTAAGTAAACTACAGCTGTCCCACAGAATCTCATCCAAATGGAGGCATTTCTGTGGAAAAATTTGAGCAATCAGAGCCTAACTCTAAGGTGACTTCAAGGATTAAGGGGGTTCTTTTGTAGGTAACATCTAAGCATTCTTTTTGGCCCTGTGAAGCGGGTTGATTCAGTCCACATGTCCTGCCAAGAGAAGAATTTTTTCAGGAAAAAAATGAAGCCATGTATAGGTCAAAATCAGCACCTTGATGTCTGTTAAGAAATGTGGGAGCCAGTCAGGATAAGAGAGTATGTAGAACTACATTTTATGTAGTAGCTGCTTCTTGTCAAAGATGTTACACGCTTAACATATCCACTTTAAAAATTTATTCAGTGGTGCTACCTGTAGCTCTTTAATAAAATAAAACAAGAACAGAAGAGAAAATAATGCCTTTTCAAAATGTGTGCTTTGAGCATTTGGCACCTCTGTGTGTGCAGTCAGTTTGACTTTAAGCTCATCTAGTCATCAGTTGGTTTCTTACCATAATAGGGGAAATACTTTGTTTTTCTTTAGTTATAAAAAATAGAGTTTTCAATATCTGTTATAATGGTAACCAGATACCTACAGAACATGAAAGCCATCATATTAACAAACTCCTTGACAATGTATATTCCAACCTGGATTGGATTAAACCAGCACTTTAGAAATACAGAAGTTTTGCATCTTATTAGTCAGGAAGATGAACCGTTTCTCCCTTTCTTTCTCAAGTTTCTAGAAGTTTTGTATCTTTCTTTAAACGTGAACCTTTCTTTTTGAGTATGTGGAGTATATTTAAAACAGTGCGCTAGGAACAGTACTTTAGGATATTGAGTCTTCCCAACATTTAAAATTGTCCCAGTTGATCAAGTTGCAGAGATACACTTCTCATTTTCACAGCATTGGGATGGCAGAGATGGGATAAAGGTGAGGCGGATTCTAGTGTCGCGCTGTAGAGGGTAGTGCAGCCAGGATTACTTTGTTGCATGGAAACAAGACTCTGAGACCTCTTGTACCTGGAAAGAGAAAAGGATAGCTGAAATCGTTGCAGAGCAAACCTTCAACCTGCTTCAACAGGGAAGGCTGCAAGCTCAGGAAAGTGCTAAATCCAGGGTGATGGTGGAGGGGACCTGTTCTAGGCTACTGATGGAAGCCATGGCAATTGGCACCAAACACAGTCAAATGAATTATAGGAGATGAAGTGAACACAGTGCGTCCACAGCCTGTGTTATTTCATTTACTGTTTTTCCTGTTATGCAAACAGTGCACTCATGTCTGCTTTGCATTCATCATAGAGAGACACTGATTTCACTTCTTGTTGGAACCTTCTTCACTGTAAAATTATTCTGTTTAATTCTGTTTCCGAATTTACCATGCAATTAATAATTTGTAGAGTTGAGAAATATGATGAGCTATTGTAAAGTATAGTGGAATTATATACCCTCCATTTACTAAAACCGTTTATTCCCCTGACATTAGACCAAAGAAGAAAGAGAAAAATCAGAAAAACTCATAGTTTTGCAGAAGGGAGGTACTACATTCCTTGAATTGCAGGTAAAGACAAATAATACTTTCTTGAAATGCAGTCACATAGGCTGGCAATTATTATTATTTTATTATCTTTTTTTCCTTTCCAAGCCCTCCCCCCTTTTTTAAAATTATTTTATAAGTTCCAGAGAGAGTTGTAATCTGGGGGCAAAATTCTGAGAAATGAGTCTCCTCCAGAGCTAATGACTTCCTAATAGAGACTGATTTCTCTGCTAGTTAGAGATCTACTTGCACGGTGCTGTTTGTGGATGTTTTCAGTTGTGCATGCGTTGCCAGCATAAACCTCACTGAGAATGTTATGGTGAATGGGGCACTTCTGTCATTCGAATGAATTTCCTTTATACTGTCAAGTGAATTCAGATTATGCTGAGTGATGGTGAACTTTGTATTCTTATTGGTTTTCTTATTAGCCAAGTGAGATAGAGAAGAAGCTGCAGGAAGGAGAATCTGCTGGCACTTTGGTTACTTCTCATCAAATCATTATCCAGAAAAGTATCCCATCATCCATAGAGGTTATTTTTAATTCATTCAATTTTAAACTGGCAACATTTGCTTAGTTACAGAAATTATGGTCTTAAGGTCAAATAACTGGATGCTGATTGCATAGCCAAAGCAAATAACTTAGCATATTTACATAAAGAGGAAAAAAGATGTTGCATTAAGTTCAGTTCCATATCTGTAGTAGTATGGCATTTACTATGTTTAACTACTCAATTTAAACGATGCTGAAGAGTGTTGATGTTATTCTAATGAAAACAAGGGAATTCAGTGCAGGCTGTAGCTACATACAAATGCGTACTATTCTAAAACCTCCTCAACAGTGTGTTTATTGCAACTGGGGAGCAGTCGAATGGGTTTATTTGCCCTATTTTTGTAATTTGTTTTTAACAATAGCATTATGAATCATTGCAATATATGATTTTTAACCTCAGCATTGTTCCAATCATAATTATAAATATCCATTAAAACACTGCCCTGCTTCAAATTACTACAGAAATAGTGTGGTAAAAGTAACTTTTTTGTGTCCACATTATATGGGTGTCTATGGGGAGGGAATCTGCAAAGGAATCATAATTTGCCTAAGGTGATGCTGTTTATTTGTTTGATAACTGCTCTGTGCAATGGTAAAAGTTATTATATGCTTTCAGAAGAGGCAGCATTGATTTCTTAAAAGTCTTTGTATTTTAGTGCTCCTGAAGTAGAGATAAACCTTCAGCTATTCTAATTTAGCTTTTATATTTCAACTATAGGGCACTGAGGATTGGGTTATTATAGACAGAATACCCTCTGAGGTAGTTGATGGTGAATCGAAAAAAAATCTGGCATGCAAAGTAGTGACTGTGAGCAGTAAAACTGCCTTCCCACCTGAGATATTAAAATCCAGTACCATTCTAATGCAGAGCTTTGAGGACTTGGAAAGTGAAATACAATCCAAAGAGGAGAATAAGCAGAAAATGTTCACCCTAGGAAAGTCCTATGATACTGTATCCGGGAAAATTGTAACCATGACAAGCAAAGCTAAAGAGGGTGAGAAAACAGTGCAGCCTTCAGTAGAAGCTTTGCAAAAAATGGAAAGGGAAGTGCAAGAATCTGTGAAAATCATTCCGGTAGTGGCTGGGTATGAAATCGTCGAGCCTGTCAGTGATGAGAAAGCCAGGCGGGAATCCGATATGCAGACCACAAAACGAAAGCTGTCCGACTCTCTGACACCCATAAAGGAAGCAGAGTCTCAGTTGCAAAGTCCTGAAGAGGAGAGTTTGAAAAAGACCCTAAAGATGGACCAGGATTTGCAGTTACATGGTGCACTGGGAAGCTTGCAGCTTGGCAAAGCCGAAAAACACCTTGGCAGTGAAGGTGTAAAAGCAGGGGTGTTTGCCCGGAGAGATAAGAGCCTGTCTGAGTGGAGATATTCCAGAGAACAGCCATTTACCGTTGCTACTGCTCACTATGTTACTGAGTCGTCCGCATCAAAAGTAGTGGTAACAAGTGGCTTTGACTTCATGCCACAGTTTAAAGATTAAAGCATGACTTCTTTTAGGCATCCCCTCACGCCACCCTGCCTTTCGGTTCTCTTACTGCCTGGCTTTGTGTTGACAGCAGCCAACCCAGCTTATTTTTTTTCCCTCTCATACTTCGAATGTGTCCCACAGTCTGAAGCAGACATTATATAAGGCTTTCAACCTTTCTGGTTTAAAATCCACATTACTGAAATGTAGTATCGCTGCTGTGGCTTGTTAATAATAGGAAAAAAAAAAAAGGTTTGCTTGAACCAGCAAATTGCCAATGCTAACAACTATGCTTCATAACTATTGCTTACTACAGCTCTTATGAATTTGCTGTGATTTATTTTCCTATTCGTTTCCTGTTTCCAACCTCTTTGTGCCCCCTGCAACCTTCTCTCCCTTCCCTCCGTCTCTGCCTCCGGTTTTGGCAATTAATATGTCTGTGCATGTGGCTCTGCCTTTCTTAAGTTTATGACTCTACATTTCTTTGTCTACTTAGACTAAACAGTCCACCAGTGAAAAAACCTTGGATGGTTCAGATATCTTCACTTTAATAGAATCCGCCAGAAAACCGACTGAGTTCATAGGAGGGGTTACTTCTACTTCACATAGCTGGGCGCAGGTGGCCGTTCGATTCCCTTCAACACATTATAACCACACACCAATTACTTTTGCTTTTCTTTTGTTTCCTGGTTTTATGCATCACCTGAAACCTTTATAACTAATGCATGCTTTCATGTGACTTTTCCTTTGTTACAATAGAAACTTCACCGAAAAGAAAAACAAATAAAACAAAGGTTTTCTCTCATTTCACTTTATTTTTGTCATTTTGCAGGGTGCTGTATTTTGCCTTTATAAAACTCATGCAAATAAGAAAAATACTTTGACATTTCTCTTCACTTTAAAAAAATTGTGATTCTTGCTTTGTTTTGCATTTCTACTATTCTGATAATGTCCTGAGAACAAAAATCCATGCAACGTGAGAGAAATAGATTGGCAAAATGTAATACCCTTGGTTTTTTTAATTTATGTTCACAGTACATTAAGCTGAGGAGCTGTTGCAAGTAGTATTGTCTGCTTCTGATGCTGAGGGGTTTGGGGTTTTTTTTCTCCTTCCCTGCAGAGAATAGAGACAACGACATCTCAGGAGATAACTTCAGGTGAAGCGAAGCAAGCAGTTCAGCCGCAACAGGACACAGTGAAGAAGGTTGTACAGGAGACGGTGGTGGTTGAGGAGAGACACGGGATGAATGGGCGTGCGAGCGGGGACCCTGCTAAAGTGGCTGGACTGGTGCTGGATGCTGAGGCGGCGGTGGCTGCTGGCATGAAAGGGAAGGAGGGCGCAGCTGGGACTGAGGGGGTGAAGGAGGAAAAAAGGGAGGAGGCTGGGAAAGCCCTGACCAAACAAGAAGGAGTTGCTGCTGCTGCTGCAACTTCGGGTGAGCAGGCGGAGGAGCACAGTACAACAGTCCACCGTGCAGAGTCTTTGGAAAGAAAAACTCATTTTGAGGTAACTAAATGGGTCATGTCTATACTGAATTGTAAATGTGGGTGGTAGCGGACTAAGGTAGTTCCTCTCCTGGAAAGCAAAGTGTACCAAGCTTGTGTGATTGCGTCTCTACAGCAGGCAGTTTGTTTCTCCTTTTTTTTCTTCCTTGCATGGCATCTGCAAGGCTTTGTTGCTGCTTCCCAGTATTGGCAAAATACCGCACATGTTTTCCCTAAAAGCGTTTTCCATGCTGCAGAGAAATAGCTAGTTTGGTGGCTTTTTATGCAATGGATAACAAGAAGTCAGCTGGCATTCTGTTTGGGAGGGTCCATCAAGATTGGCAAAGTTCACATGCCCTCAGAGATAGAAAATGCGTCTTTTTCCATTCTTGGTACAATTGTAAATAAGTGTACTATGTCTTAAGCAACCCATATTCCTTATCTTAGCCCCATTAGCAGCATTTCAAGAATTATTTTGCAGAGAGGTTAAGAAACACTTATTCTTGCTGTTGTCTCTGAGAGCTGAATGGAAGACTAAGCCTGAGCAGGATTTGTTCTCTTGTCATTTTAAGAAAATGTGTAGTACCAGAGTGGCCGAGGTTGGAAGGAAAGGGACCATCTGGTCCAACTCCACTGCTCAAGCAGGGCTGCCCAGAGCCAGTTGCCCAGGACCATGACCAGATGGTTTTTGAAAATTCCCAAGTATGGAGACTCCACAACCACCCTGGGCAACCTGAGCCAGTGCTCGGTCACCCTCACAGGAAAAAGTATTTCCCAATGTTCAGAAGGAACCTCCAGTGTTTCAGTTTGTGCCCATTGCCTCTTGTAGTGTTTACTTCTTTTCTGAAGTTTGTTTTCATGAAATCCAGGATAGTACTAAATGTCAACAGCATTATATGCATGTGTGTACCATTATAATGAAGAGGATTTTCTTTTTTTTTTTAATGTAGAACATTTTTTAGTGGTCCCCCCTCTTTCCAAGAAAAAAAAATATTCTGAGAAATCCAGAAGCTTTATTGAATGTTCCAATTCCTTTTTTTTGTTGTTCATGCAGTCACCAGTTGTGAAGACTGAGACTATCAGTTTCAGTAGTGTTTCTGCTGGTGGGGACAACCTTGAAATTTCAACAAAGGAAGTGCCAGTAGTTCATACAGAAACAAAAACCATTACATATGAGTCTTCTCAGGTAAGAAATTCTGCAAAACCCAGGGTCTAATTTAACATGGCCTTAAGGAACCCATGTTTCTACACTCATCTTCAAGTGTATGTCTTACCATAAACTGTTCTAAGCTGTTCAAGTATTAAATATTAGCATGAGGAGGATGTACATAAGTGTATCTTACCTGAGGGTGACTCTCATGTCCTGGTGTAGGGGCTTTTGAGAACATTGATGAAACTACAGATTTCAAAGCCACAGCTTCTCATCTGTCCTTCCAGAAGGGAAGTGGAGTCTCCAGATGCGGAGAGAAATACTGACACATGATCACCATAATAGCAGTTGTTTCCATACCATTAGATACTGACTCTATGAAGAACTGTAGAAATAGGGAAGTTCAGCCAGCCCAGTTCTTGCCTCCCTGGGCTCAGGACCATGTTTTTCCTGACTGGTTTTCTCTTTTGGTTCCCTAGGTGGATTCAGGTGCTGACTCAGAACCAGGTGTATTGATGAGTGCACAAACTATCACATCTGAAACTACCAGCACTACAACCACTACACATATCACCAAAGTGAGTCCCCAGAACACCGCGAGGGTGTATGTTTTCTTAATTTTAATACTACTATTTATTTTAAAATGTGGAGACATACTTACATTCTCCAGACAAAATCCTGTCTATTTTTGATACTTGTCTTCATTCAGGTATCTTTGGATTTACTGGCTTCGTTAATGTATCGTCCAAGCACTTGATAGGAGTCCTGAAAATCGTAAGGTACTTGCCCACAGCAAGGCAGAAAGCATATGGCCGCACAGGCAAATGATACTGGGTCATACTGTCATGTATGTCCTTCTGAAGCCTGCAGTTGAACTTAACTAGGTTGTAATATGAGCTGTCTCTATGGCCACTGTATTCTTCATGAGATGAATTTGCCATAAATACCTACCATTTTTGACATACAAACATCTCTCCTGATTCATGTGCAGATTTATTAGAATGCGAACATAATCTTTGTTGGAAGGACCTCTGGAGGACATCTAATCTCTTCAGAGCAGACCAGCTTGAGAGCTGCTCTGGTTGCAGTTCAGGACTGTTCCCTCTGCGCGTGCTCTTTGAGATCGTTCAGTCCAGTCACGTTTGGGTTTCTGCACTGATCATTCTCTGTATGAGCAGCAGCACTCTTTAAAGTAAGTTACTGATACGCATTTGTCCTTCCCATCTAGACTGTGAAAGGAGGCATCTCAGAGACAAGAATTGAGAAACGAATAGTCATCACGGGAGATGCAGATATTGATCATGATCAGGTAAAACATATAAGCTGCTGAAGGCTACCCTGAAGACTGCCAAAGAGAACGTTTCTAAGCATTGCTTTAAAAGACACTGTTCACACTGGCATGCCTTAAATTAAATTGGATTAGTAGTTAAACCAGTGATGGTATATTTCATATTTTAATCATTTTCCTCATTTGTAAATTGTGTAATATCTCATGAATCTCTCCACCTTGCTACTGATCATGCATGTTCCACCTCCTTTTTGTTTTTGCCCTTCTGTGGTTTCCTTGGGATAGGCGCTGGCTCAGGCAATTAAAGAAGCCAAAGAGCAGCACCCAGACATGTCAGTGACCAAAGTAGTGGTACATAAAGAGACAGAAATCACACCAGAAGATGGGGAGGATTGACCACAGGTAAGAGGACTAGATGATTTTCCTAGGCATTTACTGGGCTGGCATGTTGCAAAGGTTGTTTTCCTACCATAATTCACCTCTAACTCTTTGCTTTCTCTCACTGGCATTTGCAAGTTGCATTTGTGCTGATTGTCAGTTCTGGTATTGGAATGTAAACCACATTCAGCTCTAAACATCTTTCTTCATTTAATGATGCCAGCTGGAGAAAGAGAAACTACTCATTTGCTTTTGTTGGCTCTCTGGAAAGTCTTCATTGTCCATGCTTTGGTATAGTCTAATTTTCTAATTCTGAAATAATATTTAAAAAAATCTGTTGTCTGCTTTTATGTCATTTAAGAACAAAAATAATTTGTTCTTAAAGGTATGCATTTTCTTTAAAAATGCCAAGGGAAAAACCTACAGCTGCTTTTTAAATGTCCCGTGCAGATATGTTACAAGTTAAGCTTTAATTCCTAACTTGCAAAGATATAGTCCAACTCGCTTTTGATTTTTTTTTTTAAACCCAGTGAATTAGTGTGTCGGTATTTGAATGTCTTCGCTTTCTTGTATTTGAAAGAACATTTTATGTTTTAAAGCAGCATTGTTTATCAGGATGAGATGATAATGCAGCTTTTCTTGTGTCAAGCTTTTTTTCAGTAAAGGCATGCTCTCCAGTTGTGGCTGGCTAAACAGACGTCTTAATATTACTATATTTATTCTGTGTGCAAAAACATGTCATGCATACTAACCTGCTATGCAAAAGCTGTTAATGCCAGCGCCATTGCACAAACTGCTTTGAATGCTGTATGCAGAAGGAAAAAAAAGCTGCTCGTCTGATTTGTTTAAATTGATAGCAGCATTTTATTCTTAAAACAATATACATTCCCTAACATTTGGTATAAGTAACAGAGTATGATGCACAGCACATTTTGAAGTTGTTTTGCTCTCCTGCTTAGAGAGAGGCCCTAAAGAAAACTGAATTTCAGTATCTGTTATTTATTTGGAAGATGGAACCAGTCACTGAGGAGTGAGTGGCTGTGATTCTTGCGGTATTCTGCTAAGCGTTTCAGAGACAACGTAATGTGGCTTGCTTAAAAGTCTATTGATGTCACTAATTCTTTCCATTGGAGTCAGTGGACTTTGGATTTGAGCCAAGTTGCCTATACTGGGATGATGCCGCTTTCAAATAGCTTTTGTTACCCGAACAAATTGCAAAGTCTCGTTTGCAGGAGAGTAGTTGCTTCAGATAATTAACTCTCTTCTCTTTCCTGCAGGAATAACATAGGTTGCACATCAGTCCAGACATCCACACCAGTAGGCATACGAGAGCCTATACGGAGTCTCAGTTCCAACCTGACTGACTTATATCTGTCTATGGAAAATTTCAGTACAGAAGAATTGATCTTGACCGTTAATAAAGAAACTGGCAGAGATATCTTCCCATAGAAAGCAATCTGAATCAGCAGCAGTTAAACAATATTGCATGAAGCAATGATAAAATTACAGAAAAGCAGCATTTTTAATTTTCTTAAAATGTCTAAGTTTTCAGCTATACCTGCACGTTCATAAACAATATAAACAGTGATCTCATGTAACACATAAACAGTTCATGCCTTTCACAGTTTATGAAAGTCTAAACAAATTAAAATTTGTTAGATGGCAAGCCTTTTGTTTATGGATATTGTAAATGAAGATTATCCCCCAAATGCTAGAAGCTGTGTAGGTACTGTGTATAATGTTTTACCACAACATTAGATGTGCCAATAACACGGTTTATTCAGTAAACAACTTGAATCTTATATTTGTTTCATCTGGTTTTATTACTGCCCGATAAACAATGATGAATCTTTGCTCTTATCAGAATATTTAAATGCTTACAAAGTGTGCTTTGTATACCTGACTGAATACCTTATGAGGTAGTAATGATTTTAGTATATTAACTTTAACTTTAACGATTTTTGTCAGCATTGTTCAAAGTCAGCTTCCAGTCACCCTTCACAGATCCTAACCTTGTAAATTATATGTAGTTATTTTGGAGGAAAAAAAAGAATCTGTATTTTACTTAGTTTGCAGCATTAGAAAATTATTAATCTGAAATAACCATGATGGTTTTCTATTGATTTCCCTTTTGTTCTCAGAGGAAAAAAAAAAAAAAAAAGAAAAAAACATCTGTTTGAGAATCTGGTCAGCATTTACTATCTAGTTCAGAGTCAAGCCTTAACCTGTACAGAACGTCCACTGAAAACTCGTTAGTGTCCAGCTATAATACCCACTGAAGGGATAGCGTCCATTACACTGTCAGCTGCATCACAACACATGGTGAATGTATGTTTCTGCATAGTGAAATAAAAGTGGTAAATGCATCTGAAATCGTATTGTTCTGTGTCTAAAAGCACCTAGTGTGTTTTTTTTTTTACTGTTCGAAACGTTAAGTTACGTTTGTAAGACACCACAGGTTTTACTCATCTGCACAGTAGACACGTTTTGTCTTCAGCGGCTGCCACTGCACTGTGCAGACAGGTAGAGGTAGTGGAGCATCTGAAGGGATGACAGTGTTCACCTTTGGGCAAATGATGTTTGCAAAGCAAAAGGAGTGTTTGGTTCTTTCTGTTTTCTCTGGTTGTGTACTGTTTCACCAAGGCTAAAGGAAGGGGTTTGTGGTTGCTTAGAAAGTAAAAGGCCAGTAGCGCTTGATCCAGATCCACTCTTTTTTTGTACTTTTGCTCTGAAACATGGATAAAACTATCTCTTTAAAGCAGTACTTACTTATCTGTTCCTTTCTCTTGCTCCTTTGCCACAACTCGTTGACAGTCCCCTGGTAGTTCAAGAGAAATTTGTAACAATTAATTCACCCTTCAATCTGTATTTCCTTGCAGGATTGAAAGAAATGGGTAAAAGCAGACTTTTCAGGACATAAAGGGCCAAATTTGCCCATCACTGTTTACACGAGGCTTCCTCACGTTGAAGTTAATGAATTTGGCTTCAGTGGAGAGCAGGATTTGACCCAACGACTTGTTAATAAATGTTTATTTTCTTAATTTAGACAGAAAAAATAGTATATATAGAGAGAATAACCTGTAGATAATAATGAAAAGTAATATCCCAAGGCTTTTAAAGCTTTGCCCTTTGTCTCTAAAACGCCTTCCTTCCACCAGCCATTCTTCATGCCTTTAATCCAGAGTGCTAACTATGTAACTCCCCCTCCCACCATTGCTGCTTACCTCTCGCCTAATGACCAACGCAAAGATGACAGTCTGTTGTCATCTTTGCTTGACCTCTCCTCCTCCCAAGTCCAAGACCATCTATGTTCTCAGCCCTCCCGGTGACGGTAGGCTCAGCTCTGGTGGTGCTAGCGCCCAGTGGTAGCCAAGGTGGAGGAGGTCCTCGCCCTGTGTCTCAGCAGACGGCATGCTAGGTTCTCGCTACTGCATCAGGAGTTTAAAAAATAGACTCTGAAGCCATATTGATCTTCCCTCAGGTGCCCCTCATGTTGTCAGCAAAGAAACAGCATTGTATTACCTCAGAGAGATGCCAGGCATTCGCACAGCCTTCTCTCCAGAGTTCGCATTATATTTTAGCATGGCTTGAGGAGATTGTACTTTGATGATACTGCACAGTATGTACGCTGTCTAAAGATGTTGTACCGTAAGATAAGAAGTTAGTCGTCTTGGAAAGGACACTCACAGCTAAGACATGGCCTAAGCATATGCAAACTACGAGGAGATGAGAGTGGACAGGCAAGGACATCTTGGTGCTGTTGTTGGCAGTAGACACTTGTTTGGGGCGTGGTTCCTGGAAGTAATAGCTTTGGTTTTTGTTAGAAACTGTTTCTTGGGTTGTCTGCCTAATGCTGTGCCACATGAAATAAAGAACACCTGCCTGTTTCTACCAACCATTTTTTGCCTCTGTCTCTTCTCATTTATTTTTGGTCTTTGTCCGGCTTTTCAATGTAAAACAGCTTAGAAAACAAACCATCAAATACTGTGTTATTTGAAAGCACCATTACCACACAGACACCAGTATGGGAGACAGCCTCACTTGTTACAACTGGACTCACAGCTTCATCCCCGTGAGAACTGGCTGTTCTGCACCATTGAGGTAAAGGGTCAAGATGGCCAGGCAGGGTTTCACACACCAAGCAAGAGTGGGCGCAGCAAGCAGTCACAGCAGTTGTGACCATTACAGATACAGAAGGAATTAATACATTGCCTTGCCATGTTTAAGACTGTTTAGAATAACTTGACATTCATGCCTCTTAAGTTTGTTTTCTTTTTAGGCTGTCTTGTCACAACGGGCAAGTAATGGTGTTCTGTGCTCAAGCGTATTAAAAAAATGTTAACAGGTCTCTAAATCCAGATAAGAGATGAAAACAAGGGTTTAACAGCTTAGTGTTATTCCTTCCCAGACCAAATTTAGGCAGCTGGTGAGATGATGTGGCCCACCTGTACAAAAGTTTGAATCTTCTGAAATTATAGTTCCTTATAAATCTTCACAGCAAATAAATTGGACATTGAGTCCAGGCTTCAGTTCAGCAAACACCCTGGCAAATCTTGCTGCAGATTTCTTGCCTTAACCCAGAATAGTTCTGTCAGTTAAGATCACAAGACCCATTTACAGGCTTCACCCTTACATCTTCCCTCTTCATAGGTGATAATGGTGAGGTAAAGAAGTATGTTCCCCTTCTCTATACCGGAGCAATAATGGTCCAGGTTCTGCAGAGCTAGCAATCAAAAATTTTTCATTTTTTCTAGTCCAGTCTAGAAAAGTTTGTGACATGCCTGATGCAGTGCTGAGATATGTTGCATGATTTATTCTTTTAATGTTTGCCGAGCGCACCAGCAGGACATGCTATGTACTCTTAGCTGTATTGCCCAAACAAAATCCTGTTCAGTCAACCACATGTTTGACCAAACTGACTGTCACCATTTTTATATTGTTAGTTACTGTACAGTCTGAGACCCTACACAAAAAACTGTCTCAAATGAACAAAGTACCAAAGAAACCCCCATTTTAATTTGACTTCAACTGTTACAAAGCATTAAGAAGAAAAGTGTTTTACAAGGTAAATATGTCCCAAACTATAGTTCACTGTTTTGAAAATTGATCTCAGCTCTTCTAAGTTGTTGACTTTAAGAAAAATCCCTTATTGGGCAATTTCCCATTCCCAAGTCTTAGATCCATTTGCTCCTGAAGTACATAGAAGGGTAGCGCTCAGTTAGTGTGAAGAGATTAATAACAACTGCTAGATTCTCTTCTTTCCCTTCCCCTCCATTATGTAAGGAAGCAGATGCTTGTTTTCAAGCATTCTCTGTTGGTACTGAACCTCCTTCAGTGGACTGTATTGAACTAACCTTTTGAGGTGCCTTTGGAATTTCTTTTGCTCCTGAAACCCACCATCTCTAGTTACAGGCTTCCAGTGTTGATGTTTTCTGTGGCTTTGTGCTAATGAAATGACACCATCAAGTGGAGTAAGACCAAAGTCCTCTCAAGCAGGATCTGGATGAACATGAGGAAATGCTTTCTATAACAACAGGTGCTGAACTGGACCCCCTGATGTCCTGTATATATCCCAAGGTATAGTGGTGGTTTGGAGTACTATGGATGAACTACGAGATGACTATGAGAAATGCTTACTCCATTGCACATGTTGGGTTTTTTCTTTTAATAGAGGAAATTAAGCACTTTTCTTAAATCTATAGATTCCAAAGGCTGTATCTGTTTCACAGTGCAAATTATGGTTAGCTGTGTCTTACGTCATTAGCATTATGTCACATCAGCAAAGATGTCATCCATGGTTGCTCTGGGTTCCCTCAGAGCAACACAAAATACCAGCCATCATAAAAACTTGGTCATACACTTTAAAAGACTGTTAGTTAGGCATCTTTTAGTTCTGTCTCAAGTAGGGATTTAGGTTTAAATAAACAACAGGGCATTTTGCAGGTAGTCTTTATATAAAAATGTTTTCCACAAATTCCTCTTTCATTAACTGCAATATTATTATTATTATATTCTGTTATCTTGGAAGTACTTTTAGCCCTTGTTGATACTGTAATTTACCCTGGTTTATGCTGTTTGATTGCTTCTCCACCCTTTTTTTTTTCCACCCTATCTCCCATTCAACATCAATCGTGCTTCTCAGCCAGAACTAATTGCTGCTGTAAGCCTGTTAGGAGCAGAATTTCAAAAATCCTTGTTTAAAGGAAAACCAATATGTTCACGTTATACAAAAATCTCAGTCAACTCTCTTCCTTCATCTCATACTCCCAAATGTGGCTATAACCTCCATAAATCAATGACATCACTCTCGCAGCTGAAATGACCATTGCTCACTATAAGTGGGATTAATGGCCTGTCTTTGAGAACGACTACACTGACATAGAGGGAAAAAGGAAAAAAAGGAGTACAGACTATAAATTATTTTCATTTTTAAACACATTAGACTTTTGTCTGTACAGTCTACCAGTTCTACTTTCTCCAGTGCAGAACTTAAATAATAACTTTTAATTCTTGTTTCTTTTTGTCCAGAGTTTACTTGGAATTTCTTTTTCATTTTCCAGAAGTATCTTTGCTGTCTGCTGCTGTGGCGAGGTGTACCATGACTCTCAACTTCTGTGCTCAAGCAAAGCTTGGGCAATGTCAACTAATCCGAACCACAGAAGGCAGATTCCAGGATGTCCAGAGCTTTGGAGCCTGCCTTACAGTGCACGTGTTGCTTTTTAAGTACTGAGCACGTGTTCTTTGGTGGATAATCTTGGGTGTCTATAGTGTAAAAGACACAAGATTAGACAAAGCACATGAAAAAGCTCAGGGAAGGGCGTATCATAAATCATACAACTGAGAAAAAAATTAAAACTGAAAGCCATATATCTGAAAGTACAAAAGAAAATAATTAAGAAACCTTCCAGTAGAAAGAGTCCTGTTAATATGATGCTCACTCTTAAAAAAAAATCAAGAGTGCTACTAGCACAGATATCCTTTCTTGATGGATTTATGAGGTTTTTTTTCTTGGACATACTGGTTTTCTGGCCAAACC